TAAATGAAATCATATATTTGTCTATCCCTGTCTGACTTATTGCACTTAGCATAATGCCCTCTAGGCCCATCCATGTTGTTGCAAATGAAGAAGGAGAATTTTCTTTTTCTTTTTTCTATTTTATTTTTATTTTTAAAATACAATTTATTGTCAAGTTAGCTAACAGACAGTGCATACAGCGTGCTCTTGGTTTCAGGATTAGATTCCCGTGATTCATTGCTTATATATAACACCCAGTGCTCATTCCAACAAGCTCATCCCTCAATGCCCCTCACCCATTTTCCCCTCCCCACCCCAACAACCCTTAGTTTGTTCTCTGTATTTAAAGAGTCTCTTAAGGTTTGCCTCCCTCTCTGTCTGAAACTATTTTTCCCCTTCCCTTCCCCCATGGTCTTCTGTTAAGTTTCTCAAATTTCACATATGAGTGAAAACATATATTAGTCATTCTCTGACTGACTTATTTCACCTAGCATAATACCCTCCAATGCCACCCACATTGTTGCAAATTGCAAGATTTCATTCTTTCTCATTGCCAAGTAGTATTCCATTGTATATATAAACCACATCTTTACCCATCCATCAGCTGATTGACATTTGGACTTTTTCCATAATTTGGCTATTGTTGATAGCACTGTTATAAACATTGGGGTACATGTGCCCCTATGAATCAGTACTCCTGTATCCTTTGGATAAATTCCTAGTAGTGCAATTGCTTGGGTCATAGGGTAATTGTATTTTTAATTTTTTTAATCTACACACTGTTTTCCAAAGCAGCTGCATCAATTTGCATTCCCACCAACAGTGCAAGAGGGTTCTGGTTCTCCACATCCTCACCAACACCTGTTGTTTCCTAAGCTGTTAATTTTAGCCTGGTGTGTTAATTTTCTGACTGGTGTGAGGTGGTATCTCAATACAGTTTTGATTTGTATTCCCCTGATGATGAGTCATGTTGAACATCCTTTCATGTATCAGTTGGTCACCTAGATGTCTTCTTTGGAGAAGCAGCTATTCATGTCTTCTGCCCATTTCTTTTCCTTTTTAAAAAAATTTTTTAATGTTTATTTATTTTTGAGAGAAAGAGAGACAGACCGTGAGTCAGGGAGGGGCAGAGAGAGAAGGACACACAGAATCCAAAGCAGACTCCAGGCTCTGGGCTGTCAGCACACAGTCCAATGCAGAGCTCTAACTCATGAACCGTGAGATCATGATCTGAGCTAAGTTAGATGCTTAACAGACTGAGTCATCCAGGTGCCCCTTCTTCTGCCCATTTCTTCACTGGATTGTTTTTTGGGTGTTGAGTTTGGTAAGTTCTTTCTAGATTGTGGATACTAACCCTTTATCCAATATGTCATTTGCAAATATCTATTCCCATTCCATCAGTTGCCTTTTAGTTTTCTAAAGTATCTTCTGCAGAATAGGAATCCCATGAGATAATAGCAGGTACTGGATGAAAAAAGGATCCCGTGGTCAAATAATTTATTTAAAAAGGGGATAACCATGTTAAACAGGTGTCTTTTCTGTAATTCTTCCTAGCCTAATGTGCTTTAAGGTGTTCCAATAAGAGAAGAGATTATGAACTATATCTCAAATTTATATATCCTTAGAAGACTTACATTTCATCAGGTATTTGTGTTTCAAAGAATATATCTAGGAAATGTTGTGATGGAATAATAATGACGTGGAATATGTTCACAATGTGTTAGAGTAAGTTTTAAAAAAAGGTTACAACACAATTTAACATATATGTACGTATGTGTATATGTATGCATATATGTCAAGAATGTCCAATTAACCTGAGTACGAAGAAAGAATATCCTATAAAAATGGACAACAAATGATATTTTAAGGGCCCCTTCAGTAAATAAAACCATCACCATCTGCCATCACATTATGGCCCACCAGGTCTAAACCCAACCCATACACTACACTGGCTTCCACGTACTCACATTATTATTACATACCTGTCTACTCCTACTCACAGAAGGAAGTAGAGATATAGCCAAAGTCACCGAAAAACCTTTCAGGCTACCCTCATCTCAAACTTACCCTGGATCTTTACATATATTAGTTTTAAAGAACACTGACACAACTGAATTAATATATTTAAAGAACTTTGAACTTCTCAGCAAGAAACTTCCTGATGTTAGCATAATAATTAAAACATTTTACTGACTTCAAAAACCTAGAAGACAATTTTCCTTTAAGACTCCATTTACTCCTAACCACAATGTAACTTGTATTAATGGAACCAATATTGCAACAATAGTGTGAGATCAAATAAAATCAAAAGGCTCCACTGTTGCCTGAAGCACCTCAATTAACATGCCACAAAAGTTCCTACTACAAATTTAAAGAGATGGTTTTGTGAATTTTCTGACAAGTTCACATTATCACCATTGATGGGAATAAATTCCTTTCCAGACTACGCATTCAAAACCCAGTGCCATGAATTCACTCTAACCAATTTTATACTGAAGTCATCTCTACCAGTCTTTCCTCATTAAACTTCCTCTTACAACATGTTTAGGGGAAAAATAAGTCCATCAACAAATCATTCAATAATCACCAACTTCCTGCCGACTTTAAATCAAGATTAGCTAAATCCTCTCCATTTACCAACCCACAGCCATCTATTCTCTTCCCCTACAGTTACTATAGTTTCAGCTGATTTTTTTCCCAGCTTTTACTTCATAATATTTTAATTCCATTTACTGTTGAATTTTTCTTACTAACAATATTTTAGGTAAATGTCTCCATACCATTCTGAGGTATAATTTAGAGACACATTGTACTTATCATTTTATCCATCTTACCAGTGAACCATGAGCACTTGGAAGATTATATATCGATGATTCAATACAAAGTAACTATACTAATTCAAGTAGAAAAATTTAAAACAAGATAGAAACTCCAAGGAGAAAAATTATATACTTGTATATATTATAGAAATGTCTGCTTTTAAAACACTAAGACCTCTCAGATAGAAAGCTTAAAAAACCCACTTGCCTGCTTAGCCAGAAGGAATAAGGGAATTTTTTTTTCCTTCTGGTAACAGAACATAAGGCTGCAACAAAATTCTGCTTCTTCTTTTATAGTATAGAAGTTACAGTATAGTTCCCGCTCAACCTTAGTCAGTTTTCTCTTTATTATTTAAAGTCAAAAAAAGAAGGTCATTTCCAAACACCCTTAAATGCTGTTATATTATTCATCATTGAAACCCTAGTGCAAAATCCTAGAGTGTATGTTTACCCTTCACCCTCTACAAGACCTGTTTTCTATTTCTTCCTATAAAATATTTCTAATCTCTATCTTCCCACTTTACTTCCAGCATTACTTGGGTCTTAACTGTGAAATAAAGAATATTCAAATATATGATGGAAATAACTGCTCGCTATTCTAGGCCTAATTCTAGTTAGTTCATTATTCATCTGCCCACCAAGAATTGAGTGAATGCCTACTACAGAGGCACAGAGCTATCCCATGTACTGAGGCACAAGTAAAAAAAACACAGAAGATATGATCTCTCCTCTCAAGAATAAGCAGTCTATTTGGGGATAAAAATCAAAGACAAAATAAATAGACAATAGCTGTAAAATGATATAAAAACAAAAACTGAACAGACTGGTAGCCTTGAGGAGAGAAGGAAGGAAGGAATGAAAGAAGGAAGTAAAGAAGGGAGGGAGAGAGGGAGGGAGGAAGGGAGAAAAATAGGACATATTTTAGCACTAGATTCAGATTCAACTAAATTTACTGGATGCCTACTTCATGCCAGGAACTCTAATTAGTGTTTTTACATATACTACTCATTTAATTCATCCTAAAATAACAATAGAGCCAAAGCATGGTCTTGAAAAAAGCTGAGTAAAGAAGATGATAAAAAGATCTTACTAGGAGAGCCATGTGGATAAGTAGTATTAAATAAAGTCAGACAATTGTAAATCTCTCCCTATTATACCTTAACAGTTAATATCTATAGTTATACGGGTATAATAGAAGAGTATAAAAGACAAATTAGTGAATATTTTTCTTTTTTTTAAAGTTCTAATTGTAAAAAAAAGTACAACTGTGTGGTGATAGATGTTAACTTATTGTGGTAATCATTTCTCAATATATACATATACCAAATCTTTATGTTGTACACCTAAAGCTAATACAACGTTATATGGCAATTATATCTCAATAAAAATAAACAAAATTGTTGAAGGTTGAATTGTGTCCCTCTCAAATTCTTACACTGAAATCCTAACATGCATAGCTCAAAACGTTTTTATTTGCAAGTAGGGTCAATGCAGATGTAATTAGTTAAAATGAGATCATTAGGGTGGCCTCTTAATCCAAATATGACTTGTGTCCTTTTCAAAAGGGGAAACTTGGACATGGACAAGGACACAGGGGGAGAAAATTTCTAATTAGGGAAATTTCATTGGGAAGAAAACTGAAAAAAAAACAAAAACAACCCAGCTTAAATGAGGTCTGTGGATTATCTGTGGATGTCCTTGGTATCACAGGCAAATGAAAAGTGGAAATGTACTGCTGTATGCCTCTCTCAAGTCTTATATGTTTAGCGTACATGTAAGATAGATGATCCATCGTTGTATGTCTTACTCTCCACGCTCCTAGAAGCTGTATCTTATTTATCTGTATATTGCCTACAATACTTGGAACTGTGTTGTGGTGGCACAGCAGTACATTCTGAAGTAAGGAGGTTCAAGGGTTCAAGTCTCAAGTCTTCAAGTTTGTTCAAGTTATGTACCTTGGAGAAATTTATAAAACTATGAGTTTCAGTATCTCTGTCTAATAATAAACTGTCTAGGAGTTCTTATGAGAAATAAAGGATATGTAATTAAAGACACTTAGCATAGAACCTAGCATCTAATTAGGCACTTAATATATATTAGTTCCATTTTTGTCTTTGCATACTGCACACAATAGAATACAATTATGAAGATGGGAGTTTCAGTCATTTAGAGAACTTCCCAATAAGGATATTATACACTTACCTTGGTTTTCAGCTGGTCTTAGATTTGCTAAAGCAACGATCTGATGCCCAGCAGCAGTGCACTGCATCATATTATAACAGCTATCCTTCCCACCACTGAAAAAGAAATAGACAAATATCAGGTTATTGACCATTATTAAACATAGAATCATTAGATATTCAAATACATTTATTCGACTTTTCTGAATACTTCAGGGACCGCTTTACAATTAAAATACAAAAGATCACGTGTGATTTCCATAGCAGGAGCAAACTAAGCAAATGAATCTGAATGTCTAAGGTTGCCACTCACAAGAGCTTGTGATATTATGTGCCATTAAGACAAAGACCATTCTAAACAAAATATAATAACTCTTTGGTTTATAACAGTGGCTCTCCTTTATATACAAAATGCTTTGAAAATTAAAAATATGATTTAATTGTACGTTCTAGCTAAACAGCTATTACATATGTTCCTTAGATGAACTCCTCCTTGGAAAAGTAGAAAAATATCTATTCTGTTTTACTATTAGAAATCTAACAACTGGCCACCATCACCAATTAAAGGCTCAAATTAAAGATCTGAGACCCAATCTAAGGACAAAGTTTGATGGACTTGGTGGGATCACATTCTGTAGAGATAGAAAACAAAATGCTGAATTGCCCTGATGAAGTTAAACATCAGTACCATCAGTACTTTAGCTATCACTATACATATGATGGCAAGTGCTAACTTCGGCAGCATATTTATACTATATATACAATGGCAGGACAAGGCTTGTGCCTTAGATCTAGTAAACAGATTGAAGGAAATTTCTAAATTCTAGAACCAAATCTACCTAAGGCAAGGGCAAATCACTTAGTCAAGATGAGTGGTTTATTTATAACAAGGTTGAAAGGCAAACCTTTACACCAATGGCAACCTCTGTGCCAAGTTCATCTATAATAAGGTTGAATGGCAAGGTTGAATGACAACCTTTATTTTGGTTTAAAACTCTACTGTTTCTCATTGTACGTATTTCTTTACTTTCTCATCACCTCTCTTTTTTCCCCTCCTATTCCATTCTTTCCAATCTTTAAGATCTGCAGGTGCACTTCCAGGCACTTGAGACCCGTTCATAGCCCAAGAAACTTTTAAAAAGAGATTGCCTGGCCTAGAAACTGGCCCTTTTGGCTTTTATTTTAGCTGCCAACATTCATCTGCCTCTACCACATTCTAATCAATAACTGTCATTCCAGAACTTCTCAAGGGGAGACCACAAGGGGCATTGTGAAGTTATAAATCATGCTCCCTTTCCTCAGACTCTGATATTCCCCTAAATCTTCCACAACTTCCCCTATTGAACTTCAGGGCTCTATTTTCTCAGGACAAAGAGATTTGACTAATGTTTTTAGAATATTTAGAATATTAAAGATTAATGGGCATAAAAATCACAGTTCTAATCCTTTGGATTATTAAAGATTAAAGAGTGTACCCCTGGGGCACCTGGGTGGTTCAGTGGGTTGAGCTCTGACTCTTAATTTCCGCTCAGGCCATGATCTCAATTTAGTGGGTTGGAGCCCTACATCAGGCTCTACGATGACAACCTGGAGCCTACTTGAGATTCTCCCTCTTTCTCTGCCCCTCCCCTGCTCCCACTCTCTGTCTCTCATAAAAAATAAACTTAAAAAAATAAGAAAGGGTATACACCTATAATCAGAACTTAGCTTTATAATTCATTTATAAATACACTAAAATTTCAAATAGGGCTTTAAAATAGTAAACTGTGTTCAATGAAACGTTAGTGTCCAACAAATACTGTAAAAACAAAAGGTTTGGGAAATGCTGAGCAGCTTATTTGCATCTTAGAACATTACAAACTACATAAGCATATGTTAGGTGAGAAGTCCTAAAGAAGATTAGAATTTTAAAATCCAACTCTGGTACACTAAGTGAAGTTACTCAGTGTGCTTGGGTTTACATGCTTTGTTATAAAACCAAAGAATGGTTTTAGCTATTTCTCAAGGTGTCATTCAACTGTAAAACTGAAGAAGTCAATCTTTGTGTATAAGGAGAATAATGTTTTTTATGTTCTAAAGATATGTGAGAATCTTGGTTTCACTTATCCCTTAAAGCACACAAATATATCCCATCTCTCACTTTAGTACATACACACAGACATGATATATTACAAATAGATTCACTGTGTTTAAGTTTAAATTCATATATATTCAAATGTATATTCATATAAATGTACATATTATGTATGCATTCATATTCTAATATATAAATTGTTATATATCCATACTTATAGCATGTCTCCTAACATTTACACAGATTTTACATTTAGCAAGAATTTTCCAACATTGATGATTTTAGTAATTTGCTTTTTTATCATAAAAGTAATATATACACATTACTGAATATTTACTGTAATGGATTATAGTAATCTTCTATCAGTCCCTCCAGGATCTAAATCTTCAGTTGGTGTGTCTTACTTCAGTGGTTAAACTTTTGGCAAGTTGCATATGACGTAAATTACTCATTTCCTGGACTACTTTTTATCCTTATCTATTTGATCATGAAGATCACAGGGTCAGAGATTAATCGTTCACTTTACAGAAAAAATTTACTTAAGATCAGTAACTATTTTGACATTAGGGAGACCTAAAAATGGCACTGGAATATTCCAGTCACTGCAGAAAGGATTAGACTGCAACATCAAGAGTTCTTAATTCACAGGTCACTATTGTTAGGCAGTATCAATTACCTAGAACATTGAACAAAAACGTTTATGAAATCTTCAACGGACTCGCAAAAGAAAACATGATTGTGGTATATCTCAGACACTCTATACAGGTCCTAATCTCATCAAATATACATGTACTGTAGTCTAAACTCCCTTTTTAATGTTGTTATGGTTATCTTTGCTTCGGTTTCCATATTCATATGGAAACATTTAAACTGGCCTGTCTTTGGTTATCACAGGACTTACTTTTTATAGACACCTAAATACGATGCGCTACTACAGATTTCAAACTTTTGTTTGTGATAGAGTACGTTACCATACATCAATCTAAAAGCAGGTGAATGTCTACGGCAAAAGCAACTGGATTTAGAATAAAACTGATACAACCCCATCTTCATCCCCAGGGAAGAGACTCTTCCTCGGTACTTGAACCCCAAGGTAAAATACACCTTTGTCAAAAGCAAACCAGGCGCAGCGGGACTGCGGGCGAGGGAGAAGCGGCCTTGAGGGGGAGGGGGCGGAGCTAGAAACAGCTCCGGGAGGAAGGCGGACCGAAGGCACTCCCGCAGGGACTTGAGTAAGTGGAGTGAAGCCGTGGTTCTCAAACTTCGCCGCCCAATACACTGTTTAAGAATCCGACCCGGAACCTTGTGAGAGTAATGAAACCAGCGTTCTGGCAGTGAGACCCAGACACGGGTGGGTTTTCAAGTTCCCCCCGGTGAACGCAATGTGAATCCACGTGTGATGGCCAGAAAATCAGAGGAAGGGGCTGGGAGACTGGAGGAGCGCCGGCCAGGACCGCGGGAGGGGCCGGGCCACAGCCCGAAAACTCCGCCTCTTCCTGTGGCCGCGGGGAGCCGCTGGGCCCCGACACGCGGTTCCTGGAGACACTTCTCCGCGCTGCCGAAGGCGGCGGCGGCGGCTGCAGTTCAGCGGCAGGAGGGGATGAGAGGCCGGTGGGGGAATAGGAAGGCGGCTCCCGCGCCGCGTTACCTGATCAGAGCGGCGACCCTCATGCTGGGCGCAGTGCGCGTGCGTGCGACGGGCGCGTGCGGGAGCCGGGAAGTCGCCGGCGCCGCCGCCGCCGGCCGTGACGCGCCGCGGGGCCTGGTGCGGGTGTTCGCCTCGCCGCCTGTCAGCCGCTGGGCGCTGCGACCTCTGCGGCTGCCTCGCGGAACACCTGGCCACGGAGGAGGCGCCACGTCGGCGCCTTGTCCCTGTGACGGGGACCTCCTGGCCCAGAAAAGAATGCTGTTTAGGCACGGCCTGACCACCTAAGTGAGGGCACTGAAGCTGCCGGGGTAAGGGCAGGGTCCGCGTCGCCGAGCCCAAGTGCGGTGGCAGTGGGTTCCTTTCGGCAGGAGAACGTCCAAAATCACTTATGCTGCAAATTGAAACACTTGTGAACATGCAAACGGAGAGGAAGTTTGTTGTAAGGCCTTCTGCAAGAAACTAACTGCACCCTTTAGTGTTTTTTAACCCATCTCCTTTGTTCTATAAATCTAAATCTGGAACTAGCCCGGTGACCTCGAAGCTCCATGGGGTTTGGCCCTTGGCGTAAATACAGCGGTTTAGAAGCCGGCTAAGGCTCCTCACAAGAGCCTGAGACGTGCAGAATCATTCACTAAGTATGTACTGAATGCCTTTCATGTACCAGACACTGTTTTAAGCTCTTTGGGATACATCCATGAATAAAACATGGGATCATGACCCTCCTGGAGTTTATATGCGGGCGAGGAGAGCAGACAATATGCAGGTTAAAAAAATTCTGTAGTATGTGAAAAAGTGGTAAGTGCTATTAAAAAAAAAATAGAGATTGAGAGGAATCAGGTCGGAGGCAGAGGGCAAGTTGCAGATTTAAAAGGCGACATAGGACTTCTGGGAAGGAGAGATTTGAGCCAGCTCAAAAGAGATAACTGTGCATGACTGGAGGTGTGCTCCAGGTAGAAGGAAAAGCTAGAATCGAGGCCCCCGGTATGTTACGTGTTGTAGAGCAACAGGACTGGCCCATGTTGGTGGGAGCAGAGCAAACAAGGCAGAGCGTACCGAGATGAGGTTCCATGATGGAAGGAGGAGGAAAATCATATAGGGTCTTGTAGGCCATGAAGAACTTTGTCTTTTATTTTGAGTGAAGTCAGTGGCCACTGTAGGGTTGGGACAGAAGTATGACTTAATCTTTAAAAAGATTACACTATACTGTTGTAAGATTACACCTACCTATCATGAGGCTATTGCAGTAATCGAGGAGAGAAATAATGGAGCCAAGAACTAGGATGTGCTAGTGAATACGGTGAGAAGGAGAATTCCAGGTCTGTTTTGAAGGAATTCATTGAATTGGATGGATTAGATATGGGATATGAAGGATGATACTAAAGTCATGAATTAAATTAATATGTAAGAAATTTAGAATCAAGCCCAGTACAAAATAATCATTCAATTTAATTATACTATAATGTTCTCATTAACTCCAGTACTCTTGGTATGAGTGACTACAGCAATGATAGTCTGCATACCAGTGTCGCCATCTAAAATGATGCATCTTTATTGAGCCCCTAAGGTGGCTCAGTCGGTTGAGCAACTGACTCTTAATTTTGGCTCAGGTCATAATCCCAAGGTACTGGGATCAAGTCCCCTATTTTGCTCTACTGAGCGTGGAGGCTGCTTGGAATTCTCTCTTTTTCTCTCTCGATCTCTTTTTCTCTCTGTGCCTCTCTCTCTGTATTTATCTACCCCTCTGCCGATCTCTCCTGCTCATGTATGTGCTCTCTTTCTCCAAAATAAAACTAATAATACATAAATTATTAAAATGATGCGTTTAAATAATTATGAGATGGTGGGCATTTAACAAATTAGTCAGCTAGTTAAAGCATTTGTTGTCTAGTTGGGGAGCTAAGACAAATGCATTAAACAGATACTTATAATAAAGATGGCATATTAGAATAATTTGAAGGTAACAAGTTATGTGATGCATACGGCAAGAGCCCCATGAGTTGAACTCAGGGTAAATGCTACAGTGAGGACAGGACTTCAAAAATGGGCCTAACTGAGCAGGAAGAACAGTTGGACCTTATAAACAGAGGCAACAAAACGAGGAGTTTAGAGCATGTCACCCCAAAATATGTTGCTTCTACATATTGGTTCTTCTAAATCAATTAAAGGCACTTGAGAAATAGCAGATATGGGAAGGGCACTCTGGCCCTCTTTATTCCCGAAAGCAGGGTATAAAACTCCCTTGTAGAAGGTGCCTTCCCTGTACCTGGGGGAAAAGAAGACATTTTTAGAGCTAGAGACAGAGAACTGAGGAATAGAGGTAATATGACCTAAACATTGATTCCTAAGGGGTTGTAGACTTTGGTCATCATATCCTGCTTACTCTGGGGCTGTTGCATCTGTCCATTCACAGTTACCATCGGGCAAGGGAATACCAAGGGGCACCCAGGTAGACCACCTGTGCTCCACATGTATTCTTCCTCGTCTCTGCTGTGTGAAAGCAGCCCCATCTCTCTTGCCTATCAGAGTCAGTTGTCCTTGGTTGCCTGCCCCTGGTGCAAAGGGTTAAAAGTGCCTGACTACTAAATATCCTCTAGTTCAATATATCAGTGTTGTGCCCCATGGTAAGAGAGAAAACCTAAAGACTAGGACTGCTAACTCTGCTCAGCCCGGAATTGTGAGAGGTGAAACACAATGTTCCCCAGTGGGCAATTGGGAGTGATTGTGAATGAAGCTGTTCTTCCTTTTACCCTTTGGTTCCCAGATCCATATAACTTTCCTATTGGGAACACACTGCCATACAGAGATCTCTGATTTAGTGCCTGTACTATATCTTGAGGAATGGTGCACCATCATTGTATTGTCTTTGAGCTGCTGATTTAGCTGTTATTTCAGTAGGCCTTTCCAGCACTCCATAAGGCCAGCTTCGTGTAAATAGTCCTGTATATGATAGAACAATTAGATCTCACAGATATGGGCCCATTTCTGTACCTCATTCTCTGGGAAGTGGGTTTTTTTGTGAATACTCTGCTGGATGGGATTCTGTGCTTATAGAGTGAGCACTGCTAGTGGGGGCATTGCAGACAAGAAAGGCCAAGTTAGTATCCCCTCTGTGTTCAGTCAAAGCCTGGGAGCAGCCCGGGAAGGCATGGCCTGCTATGAACTCCATAGTGGGTCCAAAAGTGTGGCCGTTGAAAGGTGTCTGTCATTCGTGCTTCCCACAGCAGGTGTTTTTGAAAGGTTATCTGAGTGGGTCACCTCCATGGCTGCCACAATGGTGCAAAATAGCTTTCACAAAATCACATAATGAGGAGCAGCCATATTTATACTACTTGTTTCACAATGTGTCCTGCTGGAGTAAGAAATGTAGAATGAAGGGTTTATTCAAACTCAGAATAGTATTTGGAGGAAAGCCAATCTGAATTTGTGAAAGTCTAAATAATAAATGGTATTTTAAAGAAATACCTTAATTTATATCAAAACAAATATATTAATTTTAAAAGTATTAGCATGCTCATTGAATGCTGACAAAGTGTTTTTAAGAGGACGCATAAGTTAATAGGGAAAAGTTATTTTTAATTATTATCCATTTGTCTATAAGTAATTTGCTCAAATTTCAGAACAAGTTGACTTAGGAAGACCTCTATATGCATAGTATTCTGTATGGATAGTGTAAAGGTTACTGCAGCCTAGTCAATGTCAACAAGTTAATAGATTTTATATCAGGATAAAGTAATTCCTTTTATACTGAAATGACTTGTCCACGATTCACATTTTAAAGCATTGTGAGCTCTCTTTCTGTAGTCTCAAACTCTTACATATGAATGACTATGGATTAATTTGTAGAGCCAACAAAATAGGTGAATAGGAAATGAAACTCAAAATAATTTCAATCCCTTGCCAGTTTACTTAAAAGAAACTCTCCATAGCCAAACACTGTTGCTGGTAATAAAAAGTTGCCAGCTGTCACTGAATTCTGTCTCCTTGGCAGTGCATCTCAGTGATGTACTGATTGATAAAGACTCAGATAATCAGATCAAAAACTCCGCAGGTAGTTATTTTTAGAGAACTTGTGGGGATTTCTTAATGCCATATCAGGAAGCCATCAGAAGGTTTCTTGGTAAGAACTTAGGAAAAAAGGAATTAAGTACTTATTTGAAGCAAAAACTTAAGGGCATCATTACATGAGTATCTGATGTATATGTATTAATCATGGTGGCTTATATGGGCCCTGCACTCCTCTACGTGTTTTATGTATGGTGACTCAATTAAATATTGCAGGAAACCTATGAAGTAGGATACATTGTTATTCCCATTTGCAGATGAGGAAGCTGAGTAAAAAAGAAGTTAAATAATCTGCCTATCTTGGTCATTTTGAGCTGCTTTAAAGAATATGTCATAGACTAGTCATTTAAACAACAGGCATTTATTTCTTACAATTCTGAAGGCTGGGAGGTCAAAGCTCAGAATGCCACCATGGTCATGTTCTAGTGAGAGCTCTCTTCCTGGTTAGCAGACTGCTGTATCCTTACAGAATGGAGAGAGTCTCTTCTTATAAGTATCATTCATGAGGGTCCAATGTCATGACCTAATTATACCTAAAGTCTCCCACCTCTAAATACTCTCACACCGGGGTTTAAGTCTTTACATTCAGTCCATTGCACTGCCCAAATTCCTATAGCTAGTAAGTGTTGGAACCAGGATTCCAACCCAGGCAGTCTAAAGTCTATGCTTTTAACCTCTAAACTATATCTGCCACTGAAATGGTCAGCTGGTTTTCTGACTGAAATATCCTGTTTCCAAGATATGTTTGGAAGGACAATGCCATCATTCACCTCCTGAATCTCCTTTTTCTGTGCTTCCAAGTTGACCAACACTTTTTCTTAAAGACACAAATTGTTTTGTATTATATGAATTAGTAGATTGTATGAAGTCATTGTTAAACATTACAGGCCTGAGAGTCATTCTGTTGCCTTTACATGTGTTTTTTTTCTTTACTTCATAATGGATAAGATGAAATTCAAAAGCTATAGGAGCCAAGCAGATAATGTAAATAAGCGAAGTGGCCTGGTATAAGACACGGGATGGTGAGGGCTGTGGCA